CATACTATATATTATGATATATTGTTTCTGATAATAATATTAGAAATTCAATAAAACTGTACACAAACCTTTGGTAAAAATTGTGAAAACACGAGGGGTTTAACATCTAACAAAATTAACAAGWAAATATTTTTTAAGGTATAGTATACAGGATGGTTCATTTAACGTAAGACAATCATTATTTCAAAAAGTATTAACATTTTTCAAATATAGAAATGTTATTATRGTCTAATATTTTTCATRCTCCCTAATATTTATTAACCCTTATTTTTGTAGATGAAACCTCTATCGATTTTTGTTTTTCAAATGATAACCTATGTATAAAACTATGTTTTTTATGAATTGTAATATTAGAATAATTCGTTGGTAAGATGTAGCCCCTCAAAGTTATAGGTATGTTTTGGAGGTGCTATTGTATTTTTCGTTTTTAGAGACCAGGAGTTGACATATTTTGTCCAAATTAAAAGATAACCGGATGTCTACTATCATACCCGTTCCCACTTATCTTCTTCTTCTTCTTCGAGTGCCGTATTCGTTGTCGAACGTCGGCAATCATGTTATAGCTATATTTTAATCTCTATTAACGGCTGTTCTGAATAGAGATATCGTTGATGTATATTGAACCACTTTCGGAGGTTGTCCGTCCAAGAAATTTGTGGTCTTCCACGACTTCTTCTTTCAGCTATTTTGTCTTAATGTCTTGTATTATTAATTGTAGTATAGACTATATTTTTCTGGATGTCGCATAAAATGTCGCAGGTATTGAAGTTTACGCGTTTTTATTGTTGTCACTAATCCCAGATTCTTGTTCATTCGTTCCAATACTGTGACATTCGTTATGTAATCGCATCAACTAATTTTTAATATTCTGCGGTATATCCATATTTCGAACGCTTGGATTCGGWTGATCGAAACTTTGGATAAAGTCCAAGTCTCTATTCCATAAAAAGTACGGTAAATACATAACAACGAATCATTCATAAAAGCCACTCTTGTTTCTTCTATACGACATTTTATTTCGTGCGAATGGCCCCAGTTATCTATCGATGATTGTCCAAGATAACTAATTTTATGTATTCTATCTAAGGGGATATCGTTAATTCTAAGCAGATTTACCGGGCTTTGATTATCATGTATTTGGTTTTTCGGACACTTAAATGTAAACCTAAGTTTTTGCTAGCTGTTACTACTCTATCTAATATCTTTTGCAAGTCTTCGATGTTGCTATCAACACCACAGTGTCATCTGCATATCTCAAGTTGTTTATAATTTTCCCCATTTATAACAATGCCCTYCTCTGCTTCGTTTAAGGCCTTTGACATTATCTTTTCTGAATATAGATTGAAAAGCAATGGGGGAAGGGAATCTAGGTAAAAATGTCCGAGGAAAAATGTCTAAAAATGTCCGTGGTAAAATTGTCCAAAAACAAAAATGTCCATGGTAAAATTGTCAAAAAAAAAAATCTAATAATTTACWAAAACACATATTACCTAATTAAAATTTATAAACGTCAATGATAAACATTTTAAAAAGTTGTCAATACTTTTTTCATTTTTGTTGTATTCCTCACAACTTTTTTAAATTTTAATCAAAAATAGGATAAAATATGTACAGATAAAATATGATATTATACACAGTATGTCAGTATMCCTACATAATAGTAGAACTAAATGGGTATTTACTACATTGACAATAATAATACTTAAAAAAAAAAATAAAAATTTATTAATTATGTTTCCTACGTATAATACATTGTAACAAAATTGTCTCAATAATCTTATCGCACCTAATACACAATGTCAATCACAAATAGGTAGATAGTTATAAATATCTTCAGGTATTCTCAGTCATAGTATAGAAAATATACAGCCATGCAGGGTGGTTTTGACATGGATAACTAATGTGACTGGGGTGTTTCCATTTTATTATATAACGATCAATTAATTTTTCGATTTTGGAAAATTTTACCATGGACATTCTTGGTTTGGGACATTTTCACCTCGGACATTCTTAATTTCGAACATTTTTACCGTGGACATTTTTTTCTCGGACATTTTTGTAAAACACCTAGAAAAGGATACACCCTCTTCGAATTTTTAAGTCATTAGAAAATGTGTTATTTATTCTAATAGTAGCTTGTTGATGCCTATACAAATTCGTTATGAATTGTAGGTATTTTCCATCTATATCAATTTTTTGTAAAACCTCAAACAGTCTCTCATGTTTCAACTTGTCAAATGCTTTTTCGAAATCGATAAAACACAAATAAACCTTTTAGTTGATGTATCGGCAGCGGCGTAGATACGATTTTTTTCTGGGAGGGGGGGTCAACATTTTAAAGTCATTAAATGACCCGTTACTAATTATCATATAATATTAAAATTTGTAGTTAACCTACGAGTGACTTTAATGAATGACTGTTTACTTCAAACTTTTACACTCATAGTTTTTAAATTATAAATTATTTTAAATGATGTATTTAAATATTAATATGTTCATTGGTGTGCGCAGACTCTAAAAGCAGGTAGTGCCCATATTAATTATCATCGGCCATTTAGTCAACTGTTTTATATAATATATATATATATGTATATAACAAATCTTAATTTTATATAAGTATCTATTTAATATTATCACACTTATTATATTTTCTTACATAGTTTAATATAATAATAATAATATAATATAATTTTAAATACCTTATATTAAACATTTAAAYCTCATGATAGTTCAAATAAACAAAAATACAAGTTCTATTAAATTAGAATAAAGCATAACAAAATATAATAATTATGAATTACAGATCTAGAAATACGAGTAGTAGAAATCATAAAAGTATTTTATGTCCGTAGAGGTTAGGTAGACATTCGTCTGTTACAGTGTTACATGTATAGTATATATCTGTGGTTATTGTATCATATTAATTTACCAGCTGTTACCAAAGGAATGGTGCATAATGGTTATTTATTGTTTTTATTGAACTATTTTAGAAAAAATATTATATTATTTGCGTAAGGGAAAAACCCTACGTAAACTCATATTTGTTTATATGTTTACTTGTTTATTAACATTATTATTATTACATAATTAACATATATAAGGGGCGATGGCCCAAAAATACGGCAAAACTACAGGTACAATAAAATATTAAAATACATAAATTATAATAATTAGGACACAAGTAAAATTACATACACACGATATAACAAAATAATAAAAAAGATACTACAATAATATCAATAACACAATATTAAGGTGAACTAAGAAAGGTGGGGTCCTCGTTACCCAACTGCAAATTGTTTGTATTCAATATTCAAATATTCAATTATTCCAATAATGAGATAAACATATTTACCATATTATTATTTATAGTTTATTACATAATATTATACATAAATTATATAAATAAACTATAAAAACAATTTTAATACTAGTCAAAATAATATGTCTAAACACCATACTGTATAGTGTATACAAACTTTCAACTACAGAGGGAACATAGTGAATTATTCAATTTTTTTCAAATCCGCTATGAAAAAATTATCTAAAATTGAATGMATTTGGTGATTTCGGTAAATTAAGGAATATAGCGCTTCGGTCCATGAAAAATCAMGGGTCGTGCCTGGGTAGTGGGTACACGCCTATGAATATGTTTATTGTATTACGGCCTTGTAGAAATATAATATTACGTTTTTATATTGCGAATACATTTTTAATAAAATATGATAATGTACTATAGGTAATCAATTTAAATTTATAAATAATATAGGTATTTATCTAAAAAACAACTACATACTATCATATTAATATTTGATTMTTATTTTAATATCAAATAGTTGAAATGCTTAGATATTAACAAAATTCATACTCATAAGAAATGTATAAAAAAAAAACTATACGATAATAATATATCATTATTGTAGAGAGTTCCAAGTAATGTGATTAGTGATGACGGTGGTCTGGGTAATTTTGTGATATTAACTGGTTGATTCCATAAAATATATTTTTTTGGTTAATTCATTATTATTATTTATTATATACTTACGAGTTTAACAAAATTAAATCATGTTATATGTGATACAAGGCGCTTAATTTAAACAGTTTATAATAAAGAAAATAATTTTTAGTAGTTTATATTTTAAGTAGTATACACTAACTTCCAGTAGTGACTGTAACAAAAGGTAAATTTTATAGAGATACAACCATAGACCAAAATGGTTTATATTTTTAACTGTTATTTGGTTCCAATAGCCAAATTGTTGCGTTTAAATACGAGTAGCCAATTGATTCATCACATCATGCGAAAATCGGTGATTATGTATCTATAAAATAGTTTACGGAACGTACACAAAGTTTAATAACCAATAAATAAATAAATAAATATTATTATTTTTGTAATTACATTCGCACTAAACACCTAACACCACTTTACTACTTAGTTAATTTCTTCAAAACTTTAATCCACTTTTCCCTAGACATTTCTCTTCCCATTCATCAAAAATGTTTACAAACTCTGGTGACATTTTTTGTTTTCCTCCTCCCACTGTACCACTTCTCATGAAACTTCCATCAGCATCAATTAAATTGTGAGTCTTATTAATCTCAATAACAGGCTCGTAATTCACAGCTCTGTTGTTCTTCATGCTTTCGAAACTTAAATGGTCTTCCAAAACCAAAACC